TTTGATTAGCAGCCGAGCGCTTAACGATCGAGCAACCAGGGATCCCCAACCCATAAATAAAAAACAAAAACCAAACCCGTTGCCGTCGAGTTGATTCTGACTCAGTGACCCTATAGGACAGAGTAGAGCTGCTCCATAAGGTTTCCCAGGAGCAGCTGGTGTATTCCAACAGCCGACCTTTTGGTTAGCAGCCGTAGCTCTTAACCTCACCAGGGCTACAACCAAACCAACCCGTTGCCATTGAGTTGATTCTGACTTGTAGTGACCCTATAAATACTGGGATGTAATTCCACAATGCTAGCCATGAAAAGGTCTTCACAACTTGAACTCTTGGATTTTTGTTGAATGAATAATATATAGGTAAATGGATGAATGGACTGATGAATATGGGAGTATAACTGTCATCATATATGGTGAAAATCTGAACTCTTGGTTTGGCTGCTAACCAAAAAGTCAGCAGTTCGAATCCACCATCCGCTCCTTGGGAACCCTGTGGAGCGGTTCTACTCTGTCCTATAGGGTTGCCATGAGTTGAAATCGACTGGACAGCAATGGGTATATTATGGGTAATATGTTTAACTGTTGGGTAATAGATTATCATGGACTAGATGTAATAATTTATGCAAATTCTCCCTGTTTGTCTGTGCTAGGAGACAACACATGAAAGGCGGAAAGAAGGGATAAATCATTTTCCCTCTCCCTGTTCAGGCAGACGTGCTTGGGCAGAGGGGAGAATAATGGAGTAATGGTTAATCTATACTTAAGTTTAATGCGCTCAGCTGCTAACTAAAGATTGGAGGTCTGCATCTTACCCAGAGGTACCTCAGAAGAAAGACCTGGCTATTTACTTCTGAAAAATCAGTCACTGAAAACCCTATGGAGAACAGTGCTACTCTGACGCACATGGAATCTCCATGAATCAGAATCAGCTTGGCAACTGATTTATGCTTAGGTATTGAAGTTTGAAGGGAAGAGATTTCTTCTTAGTTCTCCATGAAATGGACTTACACATTACTTTTTTCAGTGTCATTTCTTCCTCCTTCCCTTCCTCCCTCTCGTCCTTCCTTCCATCCATCCATTTAAATCACCTAATACTGCCTGAGCCTCCGTTACATGCCAGACACTATACTGAGTGCTGAGTGGGATGTGGCCAGGAATGACTCCTACCCCACCCTCAAGTGAGCTGTTATTAGTCCTGGGCAGAACAAATGGTTAAGTGCTTGACTACTAGCCAGAAGGTTAGCAGTTTGAATCCACTTAGAGGTGCCTCAGAAGACAGGCCTGGCTGTCTGCTTCCAAAAGGTCACAGCCTTGAAAATCCTATAGAGTAGTTCTACTCTGCACACATGGAGTCACCATGAGCCGGAATCTACTTGATGGCAGTTAACAACAACAACAACAGTTTTTACACTGTGATCTCCAGAGAAGGGTCATAGGTAAATTCATGAATATGCAAAGCCACATGAAAAACTGGAAATGAGTGATCACATTCATGAAGTAGTTCTAGTGTTAGCTGAAGATATTTATATGGATATGCACTCAGATTAAATTACATGTTCCTAATATGCTACAGTGGGGCCCTGGTGGCACAGTGGTTAAGATCTTGGCTGCTAACCAAACAGTCAACAGTTCGAATACCCCAGCCACTCCTTGGAAACCCTATGGGGCAGTTCTACTCTGTCCTATAGGGTGGCTATGAGTCAGAATCAACTCAACGGCAATGGTTTTTGCTTTTTGGTTAATATGCTACAAGGCTAACATGCTTTGGAGTCAGATGGACGGTGAGTGAGACAGATATTTTTACTGAAATTTTATAATTCTGTATAATAAGCTCCATATTTTTAATTTAGGGTAAGGAGTTGGACAAAAAACATGCTTGATTCTGCCTGGACTTGGTTGGGGTGGATGTAGCAGGGATGTTCAACAAGAGTACATGGCTGAGAAGACATTGTGGTCATGCCTAGTCCCAGCCACACTAAAGACATATCTCAAAGACCCCAGGGCTCCATTCTCTTGTTTGTGAGGTATGTTTCTCTTCATTGATCATAAAAGGGCTCTTACCTTTCCTTCTTAGCTGTTATATATCCTTATGCGTACACATGTGTATATTGGATTTAAATAATCTCATGTTGGGAAATTACCTTTGCTGAATATAAATATTGCTAATAGTGTTATGGTGGACATTAAATAGTCGTGTTAGTATTATGACATGTTGTAATTATGTGTGTATACACTGGCCTCTCCCACCTGAATGTTTGCTTATCAAGGCAAAGATAATGTCTTATTCATGCTTGTGTTCCCAGTGCACCACCTACACCCCTGCCCACGGGACATTTGGCAATATCTGGCAAACTTTGGCATTTCTGGTTGTCACAACTAGGGGGATACAACTGGCATCTAGTGGGATGCTGCTAAACATCCTTCAATGCACAGGACAGTCCTCCACAGCAAAGAATTATTGCCTGAAACATCATTAATGCCAAGATTGAGAAACCCTGGTCTAGAATAATACTGCATACTAATGGGTGCTCAAGAAAGTTTGTTGAATGAATAATATATAGGTAAATGGATGAATGGACTGATGAATATGGGAGTATAACTGTCATCATATATGGTGAAAATCTGAGCAATTATGAACTTTTAATTTAATCTGAATGCCAAAACCAAACCCATTGTCATCAATTCAATTCCAACTCATAGCCACCCTATAGGACAGAATAGAACTGCTCCATAGGGTTTCCAAGGAGCAGCTGGTGGATTCGAACTGCTGACCTTTTGGTTAGCATCCAAGTTCTTAACCACTGTGCCACATACAAATACTTTCAAATAACATTAGAACTACCCTCATGAAACAGGTTATTCATTTCCAGTTTATTATATGACTGAATTTAGTGATGACTCATATTTGTAGATCACAAGGTAAGAACAGCTCACATTTATGGATGCTTATTCTGCTGAGTGCTTTACATGTACAGTTGCCCTTAATTTCACAATACCCTTATTACCTACCCCCAGTCTACAAATGAGGAAACTGAGTCTCAAAGAGGGTATTTGCCCAAGGATACTAAGTTTGTAATTGAAAAAGCCAGGATTTGAACCTAAAGTCTTTTTGACTTCAAAGCATGTTTTGTTTGTGTAACCAATACATTATTGCCTCTAGACAAAGTAAACTAAAAGGACCAGTGATATAAATTATAATCCTTGACTTATTACTGAACTTCAAAAATACTCATGACCAGGACAAAGCAATAACTTGTGTTCACAGGTGTTATGACATAAAAGCCTTTGAAAAATAAGATCTAAGCTCCAAATGAAAGGTTCTTTATCTGATGTTGAACCTTTGTCTAAAGATTCTTTATTTAATGTTGAACAGTGTTCATAGATTTAGTAGCTACTGATGCATAAAATATTTTCTGCATGGCAAATTCAGAAGTGAATTATTATCTAATAATTTGAGTATATATTATGATATTGTTTTCTAGAACGCCAGTGAATCAGGTGCAATGATTAGAGAGAGACGTATTGCTTAATATATTGATTTTTTTCCCTTCTTATCTTTTGTCCCTCAACACAAAGAAAACAAAAATCTTCACAACTGGACCAATAAGCAACATCACCATAAACGGAGAAAATATTGAAGTAGTCAAGAAATCAAACAACATATTGCATTGGGCAAATCTGCTGCAAAAGACCTCTTTAAAGTGTTAAAAAGCAAAGACGTCACTTTGAGGGCTAATGCACCTGACCCAAGCCATGGTATTTTCAATCACCTCATATGCATGTGAAAGCTGCACAATGAATAAGGAAGACTGAAGAATTGACGCCTTTGAATTATGGTGTTGGCGAAGAATACTGAATATACCATGGACTGCCAAAAGAATGAACAAATCGATCTTGGAAGAAGTACAGCCAGAATGCTCCTTAGAAGCAAGGATGGCGAGACTTCTCGCTTGCTTTGGACATGTTATCAGGAGGTACCAGCCCCTGGAAGACACCATGCTTGGTAAAGTAGAGGGTCAGCGAAAAAGAGGAAGATCCTCAATGAGATGGATTGACACAGTGGCTGCAACAACGGGCTCAAACACAACAACAATCGTGAGGGTGGCGTAGGACCAGGCAGTGTTTCATTCTGTTGTACATAGGGTTGGAACCGACCTAACAACAACAATAATCTTTTTCTCCCAGTTTTTACACTCAGAAACTTGTTTTCAAAGATTGATTCAAAACCATTTCCTCTTTTACAGCTAACACAGTCTCCCTAGAATTTCAATTCAGTTTACTCTGAAGGATTGCAGAATCTAGAAAGCTTCCTGGGCCAATTTATTTGTGGCCAGATTAAAAAAAAAAAAAAAAGTGAAATTTACTGGAGGGCTAAGCAACAGTGTGATGCTGTAAAGGGCTGGAGGATTATATCACCAGCCACAGGCAGGTGGGATAGTGATTAGCAGGGAAAGGAAAGCTACATGGGACTATTGCCATCTTATGTGTGAAAAATAAAATCTAGACGCCCTTTATGTATCTTCTCTCAGGATATTACTGCATTGGCAGGGATGGCACCTGTGCTTTTGACCTGAATTTCTGCCTCTGGTTAGTCTGTGCATCTCCCCTCCTGTCCATCTGTCTGTCCATCCATTCATGCATTCCTCCATCCAGCCATTGCCTGCTAGCTGGAACAGTGGTTACAGTTTGGTAACTGGTAACACTGGGCTACAGCCCAGTGGTTCCAGGAGTCAGATGTTTGAATCCAGCTCTGCCAGTTACTAGCAGCACACTTCCATCTTCAGGAATTCATTTAATCTCCCGATGGCTCAGTTTTATTCATCTATAAAGTGTGATAACTTCCATCTGAAAGAGTTGTAGGTACAATTAAACAAGAATGTGAGAGGGGAAAGATAAAGAGTTTGGGGCAGTACCTGAAGCATACTACCAGTTGCTGTCGAGTCGATTTTGACTCATGAAAACCCCATGTGTGTAAGAGTAGAACTGTGCTCCATAGGGTTTTCAATGGTCGATTTTTCAGAAGTAGATTGCCAGGCTTTTCTTCTGAGGCACCTCTGGATGGACTTGAACCTCCAACATTTTGGTTAGCAGCTGAGCACATTAGCTGTTTGGTACTACCCAGAGACTCTGAAGCATAGTAAGAGTTCAATAAATTATTATTATTAATGAAGATGAAATAGAGAAGGGACTTAAGGAGGAATTCCCATGAGAGAAAGCAACATAGAAAGGTGGAGGTGAAGGAGGTGTTTTATAGAACTTCAGCATCATTACCTGCAGCCCCCTTTTCACCTTTCTCTCCTTTCCTGCCGTCTCTACCATCTCTTCCCGGAAGGCCAATCCGACCATGGGGCCCAGGGGAACCATTTGCTCCAGGGGGGCCTGGAGGTCCAGGTAAACCAGGGATGCTACAGATATATCTTGGGGAGTAGCTTTCTCCTTTGAACTGATTACCCCAAGGTTGTCCAATTGCACAAATGGCAAAACTTGTAACATAGAGCAAGACAAACATCCTTGGCGCTGAAAGAGAAACACAGGGACGTAAATGCACCCTTTCAGGTGGGAGTCCTGGCACGATTGATTCTGTTTGAACACGAGAACGGGCATTTGTAACAATTCACCCCAGTGCTTGCCTCTGCACACATTTATGAAAACCCTGTTTACTCCCATAATTTCATTGGAAACAGTTAACACGTTACTGATAGAGTTCTCAGTGCCCTATACAGGGGTTGGTGGAGATGAGGATTGATTTAAAAAAAATTCCAAAATAAATTACTGTGTTGCCTCTGTTCTGCAGGAATCAGTGATGGACATGGAAAAATAATGCTTCATTTCTGCCAAAGTGATACTTTTTTTTAAAAAAGAAAACTAGAGATGCAAATGAATAAGATAAGGATCAATGGTATTTCCACCACCCAGAGATAATTATTTTTTCCACTCTTTTTGCTATGCTATGGAGAAAAGTGGTATCATGTCATTTCTGCAATTCTTAACTTCTTTCACTTCACAAAATGTCATGAGCATCTCTCCATAGCAAAAACTATTCATAACATTAAACAATATTGCATTTGGTTCTACTGTTCGTTATGCAGGCAGTCTCCCATTATAGCATTTAAGTTGTTACCAGTTTTCTGCATTATAAACACCATGCTAGACTCCCTTATAACTACTGATTGTTTCCTTAGATTTTATGGACTTTGAAAAGCAGGAGCAAGGCAGTGCCATTTTCAGGAAACTCGTGTTTTTCACTTGGTAATCATGTGCAATGCCAATTAGTGTTAATTGGAGTGCTGTGCAAGTCCAGGGGGGCATCTGAAACCTTAATTTAAAATCTGCAGGATACAACACGGAGGCATCCCATTAAGCTGTTAGCACTGGGGCTCAATTAAAGAATGGAGTGAAATTAATCCATGCATCTCACCATGTGCTCCCAGTGAAGCAGGCAGCTGGCCTTTTTGGCTTGGATCTAATAGCACTCAATTTTCCCTCCTAAAGCCTGGCAGCTCAGAATGACGGATCATTTATTAGTAGGACATCCTGGCGTATAGATTTTATAAGCTCACCATTCTTTAGGATTAACAGATTTTTGGACAGGAAACATATACAGGTGGTTCTGGGCCATGTAAATGAGTCGTTTTTGGATGGTTGGACCTGTGCTTTAATAAGAAATCTGTACAGTGCTTGACCTGGCATACCCTCCCCTGAAGGAAATCATAAAAATGTGGAAAAAGCACATCAGATGGAATTACTTTTGTTTTTTGAGCCACATCAGAAGATTAACCAGGCACACTGTACCCTTTTTGTGGTACCCATGGGGAAATTGCAACACCTTGGATTAGACCCACAATTTACCAGAGTCTACGAATGACAAATTGAGAAAAACACAGTGTACACATTTATTTGAAAAATAAGTCCAATTCCTAGAAATCTTATTAGTGAAAAACTGAAGCAACTTTCACAAATCTAGGTTATGAATCCTTAACCAAATCTCAATGCTACTAATCATATATCTATATCTATTTCTGTTATCAGAAGGGATCAGTCTCTGGAGAGGACTTCATGCTTGGTAAAGTAGAGGGTCAGCAAAAAAGAGGAAGATCCTCAACAAGATGGATTGACACTGTGGCTGCAACAATGGGCTCAAGCATAACGAAGATTGTGAGGAGGGCACAGGACCAAACAGTGGTTCATTCTGTTGTACATAGGTCGCTTTGAGTTGGAACCAACTCGACAGCACCTAACAACAACACTTAAGAATCAAATGTTGTGTTTTGTTTTCCTTCAACAAAAATGTTACTAGGTAGCATCAAAAATCCTCATAACTGGACCAATAAGCAACATCATGATAAATGGAGAAAATACTGAAGTTGTCAAGGGTTTCATTTTATTTGGATCCATAGTCAACACCCATGGAAACAGCAGTCAAGAAATCTAACCACATGTTACCAGGAGGGACCAGTCCCTGGAGAAGGACATCATGCTAGGTAAAGTAGTTGTTGTTGTTAGGTGCCGTCGAGTCAATTCTGACTCATAGCGACCCTATGTACAACAGAACGAAATACTACCCAGTACTGTGCCATCCTCACAATCGTTGTTATGCTTGAGCCCATCGTTGCAGCCACTGTATCTATTTATGTTATCAGGAGGCATCGGTCCCTAGAGAAGGACGTCATGCTTGGTAAAGTAGAGGGTCAGCAAAAAAGAGGAAGTCCCTCAAGGAGATGGGTTGACACAGTGGCTACAACAATGGGCTCAAACATAACAACGATTGTGAGGGTGGTGCAGGACTGGGCAGTGTTTCGTTCTGTTGTACATAGGGTCGCTATGAGCCAGAACTGACTCAACTGCACCTAACAACAAACTAAGGAGATTATCCCTATGTTTATTTTCTTTACTTTAAATTGTGTATCTCCACCTGATAGAATGTAAGTTCCATGAGGACAGAGGTCTTTGTTTTGGTCATTTATGTCTCTAACCACCTACAGCAGTGCTGGAGGGAGGGAAGAGGAGATTCTTTTTTTTTTCTGGGGGGAGGGGAGAGTTTTGAGGAAAGAAACTAGAGAGTAGCTATGGCATATGAGAGTATTATAAGAAACAATGGACTCAAGCATAACAATTCTGAGGATGGCACAGGACCAGGCAGTATTTCATTCTGTTGTACATAGGGCTGCTATGAATCGGAACCGACTCGATGGCACCTAAAAACAACAACAATATGAAAGAAAGGGGGCAGAAAATATTTAAAGAAATATTCGTGGGGTTGATGTGTCCCTTTCACAGTATTTGAGAAATACAAATGAAGGACTTGTGTTGCTTTGATTTTGCATGGTCTAGGTATGAAACTCCCTAGACCATGCAAAATCAAAAGAACCCGAGTTGTTATGAATAATATTGTGAAGAATGGGAATTCCAGAACCCTTAATTGTACTCATGTGGAACCTTTACATGAACCAAGAGGCAGTGATTCCAATAGAACAAGGGGATGCTGCATGGTTTAAAATCAGGAAAGGTGCATCAAGGTAGTATCCCTCACCATGCTTGTTCAATCTATATGCTGAGCAAATAATCTGAAGAGTTGGACTATATGAAGAAGAACAAGGCATCAGGATTGGAGGAAGACTAATTAACATCCTGAGACATGCAGATGACACAACCTTCCTTGCTGCCAGTAAAGAGAACTTGAAACACTTACTGATGAAGATTAAAGACCACAGCCTTCGGTATGGATTATACCTTAACATAAAGAAAACAAAAATCCTCACAACTAGACCGATAAGCAAGGTGATAAACAGAAAAAAGAATGAAGTTGTCAAGGATTTAATATTCTTTGGATCCACAATTGACGTCCACAGAAATAGCAGTTAAGTAATCAAATCTGCTGCAAAAGACCTCTTTAAAGTGTGAAAAAGCAAGGATGTCGTATTGAGGACTAAGGTGTGTCTGACCCAAGCCATGGTATTTTCAGTCACTTCATATTCACACAAAACATGGACAATGAATAAGGAAGATCAAAGAAGAATTGATGTTTTTGAATTATAGTGCTGGTGAAGAATATTGAATATACCATTGACCGCCAGAAGAACTAACAAATCTTGTCTTGGAAGAAGTACAGCCAGAACGCTCCTTAGAAGGGAGGATGGCGAGATGTTGTCTCACTTACTTTGGACATGTTATCAGGAGGGACCTGTCCTTGGAGAAGGACATCATGCTTGGTAAAGTAGAGGGTCAGTGAAAAAGCGGAAGACCCTCAAGGAGATGGACTGACACAGTAGCTGCAGCAATGGGCTCAGATATAGAAAAGATTGAGAGGATTGGCAGGACCGGCCAGTGTTTCTTCTGTTGTACATGGGGTCACCATGAGTTGGAACTAACCATATGGTACCTAACAAAAACAATGAGGATGTTTTAAAAATATTTTAAAAATTATTTTTTTCTATAGATAATACATGTGCATTTCATAAAATTCAAAAGAAACAAAAGGGTATGCAATGAAAAGTTAATCTCCTCTCCTCCCTCCAGTCTTTCAGCCATCTAGTTTCCTTCTCTAGAGTTAATCGCCACTGTCAGTTTCTTCTAAGGCCTTCTCCCCTCTATGCACCATGTTAGCAATGAACAAGGTTCTGTGCCTTGCTTTTTTTTTTTTTTTTTAAATCTTAGCTAGGAGATCTTTCTATATCCGTATACATAGAACCGCCTCATTCTTTTTCATGACTGTTCATTATCCATAATATGGGTGTATTATAATGTATTTAACCAGACACCTATTGATGGCCATTTAGGATATTTTCATTCTTTTGCTATTATAAGCAATGAGGCAATAAATATCCATATACATAATCTTTGCACATGGTTTATGACATGAGCATCAAATCGTTGTTTCCAGTTTATCCTTCACACTGTTCATGTATTTTTAAATTTTTTTTTTACCATAGATTCGTTTTTTGAGGTCTATTTTATTGTGTTTATAAGGTGTTCCTCACTTCAAGAAAATAAAAGGAATCTGTCCATTTTTCTTTAAGTTCTTTTATTGTTTCATTTTATCCACGTTGAAAAATTTAATTCATTAGATTTTTTCTGATAAAAGGTATGAGGTAAGTAAGGCTTCAACTTTATATTTTCAATACCTTGCATTGAATAATCCATCCTTCACTTAGTGCCTCCAGCTTTGCAATGGACTTGGCTATTTTGACTGGGACTGAGCCACGTGGGTCATGGGTTTATAATCATTGTGATACCTTTCATTAGTTTTATTGAGATACAATTTACACAGCATAAAATTAATCCATTTAAAGCATACAATTATATGTACACCATAATCTAGTTTTAGAACATTTTCATTACACCAATAAGGAAATTTGTCACCATTAGTAGTCAGTCTTCATGCAATATGTTTCAAAGTATTGAACTGAATTATGCAAATCTATGTAGCATATCTGCTAACATGTATTTTTCTTCTACACCATGCTCCTTTGGATTGAGAATATCAAAACTCTGGAAATATTGTTAATCTTGAACAGATCTGTCCTG